CGCGTGTGGGTTTCTATGTGTGTGTGTGTGTGCCTCTGCATGCGGTCGCGCATGCTGGTTTTTGTGTGTGGGTTTAGTGTGTGTGCGCCAAGCCACTGGCAGCCAACAGTTGGGTTGGGGCAAGCCACATCTCAGACTCACAGTTGGGCGGTTTCAACTATTTGTTTGCTTGTTTGTTTGTGTTTGTGCTTGCGTGCGTGTCGCCGTGTTTGTGTGCGTGTGCTGTGTGTCTGTTTGTACATGTTTTCCATCTCTTGTTTCTGTGTATTTTGACTGTGCGTGTGTGCTGGTGTGTTGTTTTATGTCTGCATTGTGTGTGCGCGCGCCTGTATGCGTGTGCGTGTCCCCGTATGTGTGCGTATGTGTGCGTGTGTTTGCGCGTGCTTCTTTCTATGTATGTTGTCTGTGTGTTCCAGCACGTGTGCGTTTGCCTTTGTGTGTGTGTGTGTGTTCGTTTGCTTGTGTTGCTTGTGTTTTTTTTTTTGTGTGTGCCTGTGTGTGTGTGTGTGGCTGTATGTTTGTGCTGTTTGCGCTTGTTTGTGTGGCTGTATTTGTGTGTGTGTGGGTGTTTGGGTGCTTTGCGTGTTTGCGTGTCTGTGTTTGGTTGTTTGTGCGTCGTCTTGTGATTTGTGAATGTACTTGCCCATCTTGAGGCTTCATTGGATTGCACGCCTGTCTTGCGCTAGATCATAGCTGGAAGCAGGCGTTCTCAGGCCTAGCAGCCTCTCTGTTTGTTGTGTTCCTCGAGGGTTGCGAATCACATGCGACCTGGTAAGCTTCGACAAATATTTCATTACTGGCATGGCAAAAGCAACAGTGATGAGCCAGTTGCATGCGCGTCACTTGAAGTTCCATGTCAGGGTGGGAAAAGTGTCCTGGACTTTGGGAAGCCCACTTCTACGTCTCCGCCATGCCCAAACAAACTTTGTCGGAGGCAGAACAAATTTACCTGATTTAAACAGGGAGTTCGTTTGACGTGGACTTTCTGTTAAAGGTTCACTGCACATGGACCAGGGGCGAAAGCTGAGGTCAGCTGAAAGTGTATGGCACGATGTGCGTGTCTCATTTGCTTCAGTGTCTGCTGTTCGCCAGCACCTCCATTTGTGGCGCAACATGTCACTCTCGTCACGTCCGCGAGGACTGCGTTGGATTTGGCCAAGGCGGCAAAGACGTTCGCCCAGGAATGGACGGCCTGGGACGATTTGCCTTTCAACTTCCCCTCGACCGACTTCCCGCCGCTACCGACAAGAAGCCCGTCGGACTGCCCGAAGCGTCAGGCAGGAGAAAAATAACGAGGGAAGTTCACGGATCAAGCCGGAGGTGAATTGCGCCAAGGTTTGGTGAGTATATAAGGCACGTTTACCGTTTAGAAGGCACGTCTGTATGGTACTGGAACAAATCGAGGTTAGCCTGAACTCTCTTATGCTTTTAGATTGCTGCGCGCTCGAAAAGCCAAAGCAAAGCCAGACAACGGGAGAACTGGGGAATGCAAGCAGGCCGCAAACGTGGCCCTATTCCGCACGTGTGCAGACCACCGGTTGCGACGCCTGTACGGAGGCGGGTGCGGAGCGGTCTCAGAGCAGGTTCTGAGCGGTAGTGGAACGGGTGCGGACGGGACCATTGCACATTGTTGCCTACACTAGCCTTCTGTGGGCTTTCACGGGGTTGACCCTCAATGTTTTGTTTTTTGTTTTGTTTTTTGTTTTGTTAGTGTGTTTCTGATTTCTTTGCGATTTTCACCTCGCTCGCGCAACCCCGGGGCGAACTTTCAGGGGGCCGACCTTCGTGGTGATTGAACTTTTTCACTTTCGTGGCCTGGAGACGCTGGAGATAGCGAAAGAGAAAGAGGAAGAAGAAGAGGACGAGGGAGAGAAAATGAAAGAAAGAAAGAAAGAAAGAAAGAAAGAAAGAAAGAAAGAAAGAAAGAAAGAAAGACAACATCAAAGGGAAACTGCGAGAAGGGGAAAAGAATCGTGCTCCAAACTATACTCTTATAGGTTTGAAGCTTCCGACCCCCACCCCCCGACTCTGTAACATTTTTTGCTGGTAGGCAGAACATGTTAACATCCGCAGGTTTATTTCAGTTTAAGGTTGGCCGAGATACAATGCAGGAGTCCGAATGCTTCCCTTTGTCACAGCGTCCCACAAAAGACTCATGCAACTCTGACCCGCAAGCTGATGCATTGAGCTATCCTGCGGGTGCGTGGTGGGAAACGTCTTTGATGGCGTAGATGATCGCACATGCCCAGCACATCCAGACACATGCATGCACACGTGCTATGTAGAGCCATGTAACATTGTGAATATGGCTGAAGCTCCCACATTCTCTTGATGTCCGACTGCGCAAACGAGCCTTGCCTTCAAACGGGCGAATGCGGGAAAGCCAAAAAAACGTTGATTTCCCAAACGGAAACGAGAGCGGGATGGGTATTTTCAATTTGGCACCGGGCAAACACACACACACACACACACAGACACTGGCCTTTCCGAAGCGCAGTGTGCGCCCCGAGGCGGAGGTTGTACAGTTCCTTGAAGCAGCCTCAGCTTCAGTGAAGCCGACTCTTCCTCTTGGAGGCTCAGCACCCGCCTTGGACTTTGGGGCCTTTCTGAAACTTGGCCGCTATTTCATTGGATTTTAGTTTGGCGTTTATTTGTTGGGGGCATGTATTGAATACGGACCATCAAGCAAGTTAATCCTTAGTTAATCCTTTGCAAGGGGGCTACAACCATGCAGGAATGGCAATGACTTTGGGCTGTCCCCCTTCCTCAGCTTTGCAAGCACCCCGTGGGAAAGAACCCTGCGGCAAGAGCCTGTACAGATGGCATCGAGTGAAGAGCCGAGGGAGGAGCCCATGACGCCCACCGCCCGGCAAGCGCCAACAACTCCTGGTGGAGCCCCGCGCAAGCCTGCGATGCCAGCAATGATGGCCGCCCTCTCCGCAGACTGCTTGGAAGAAGTGGATGCAGCGATCAAGGCAGATGCAGACTCGGCATGGGAGCCCTTCTGGGATCATGATGTGGAGCCTCCGCTGTGCTTTGCTGCACGCAACTTGTGCGATCCTCGCATAGTGCAGCTCCTGCTCAGCAGCGGAGCCTCCACAACTGATGTGGACCAGCATGGTCAAACTCCTCTTGAGCTGGCTGAGTCGAGCAAGACTGGAACAGAAATTGAGATCTCTTGGGGAAGTACTTCTTTCCGTGAGTCCTCCTCGTTCTTTGCATTGCCATTGCCAGCGCGATGTGACTCTGCAGATCGACAGGCTCAGATTGTGCAGCTGCTTCTTGGATCAACTACGACGCGGAAAGCCTCGTATGGATCAGACTCAGCAGAAACCATGACGCCCCCTAGGACGCCCACTGCCCGGCAAGCGCCAACAACTTCTGGTGGAGCCCCGCGCAAGCCTGCGATGCCAGCAATGATGGCCGCCCTCTCTGCAGACTGCTTGGAAGAAGTGGATGCAGCGATCAAGGCAGATGCAGACTCGGCATGGGAGCCCTTCTGGGATCATGATGTGGAGCCTCCGCTGTGCTTTGCTGCACGTAACTTGTGCGATCCTCGCATAGTGCAGCTCCTGCTCAGCAGCGGAGCCTCCACAACTGATGTGGACCAGCATGGTCAAACTCCGCTCGAGCTGGCTGAGTCGAACAAGATGGGAACAGGCATTGAGATCTCTTGGGGAAGTACTTCTTCCTGTGAGTCCTCCTCGTTCTTTGCATTGCCATTGCCAGCGCGATGTGACTCTGCAGGTCGACAGGCTCAGATTGTCCAATTGCTTCTGGACTCCGCCACACCGCCGAGTAGCCTGATTGAATCCGAATGTTCAGAATCCCTAATGACGCCTCCTATGACGCCCACCGCCCGACAAGCGCCAACAACTCCCGGTGGAGCCCCGCGCAAGCCTGCGATGCCAGCAATGATGGCCGCCCTCTCGGCAGACTCCTTGGAAGAAGTGGATGCAGCGATCAAGGCAGATGCAGACTCGGCATGGGAGCCCTTCTGGGATCATGATGTGGAGCCTCCGCTGTGCTTTGCTGCACGCAACTTGTGCGATCCTCGCATAGTGCAGCTCCTGCTCAGCAGCGGAGCCTCCGCAACGGCATCAGACAAGGATGCCAAGACCCCGCTTGAGTTGATCCCGGTGGTGAGTGAGGCAGGATTGTGCAGGAAAGCAAGCGGGAAGCAAGCAATAGCGACCCATTGATCAATCCCTAGCTGGTTAGTAGCCCGGCCATGCCGAGTCCCAGCCTGAATCCGCGAGCTGTGTAAAAAACGGGGTTGGCAACATGTACACACCGTCAATCAACCCTTCCCAAGTTCACCCTGTGCCCTTTGCTGCATCCATGTTAAAATTTCAGGTTGAGCAATAGTATGCAACAGAATCGGAACTTCGACTTGGTGCACTTTGGGGTTGGGCCCTGTGTCTTGCTTCCGCTTTGCCCAGGCGAAAGATGAGTGGAGGGACTTGCCTTTTCCATCGCCCTTTTTCCCGGAGCCTATGGACCATCGCAGCCGCAGCTCCCAGCTTTCACGCCTTTTGGGCGCAGTCTAGGCAGGGTGGGTGCCTCTCCAATGGGGTGGCTCCAACGTTCACCTTGTTCTCAAAGTAAGCAACTGCCAAAATGGGTGCCCTTGGTTTCCATGGCCATGTCAGGGCTGTAGATTTATGGATTGACCCCCTTTCTCACGGCGATGGCTTTCAGAGAAGCCAACACACCGGTGTTGAGAACTCTGGAGTCCCATGTTGCACGAGCTGGGCAAAAGAAGGACCATCCTGGTATAAAGGTAGCTCGGGAGTTCCTCACGAGGGTTCCTTGAGGCTCTTGAGGATTCCTGGACGGTTGGCGATTTTGGGATGATTCTTGATGCCCAACCAGAGTGGACATGCTGAAGGCCCAAGCCTGCTAGGAACAGTCGACGTGCTGACGGCCCAGGCCAGCTAGGAACAGTCGACATGCTGATGGCTCTGGAGGACGTGGCGCTTGGGATTCAGGTTTCAGGGACTGCCCAAGGAGATTTCTGCAACGTTGCGAGCTTCCAAAACCATCCGTCGGGGGTGAGCAAAGGCTTTCTTTTGTGCTTTCAATCTGATCCGAAAGGGGGCTGACATTTGTCGACTCAGATCGTGCGGTTGGCGGGTGGAGTCTGTTCGATTCAGGAATTCCAAATCTTTCTCGAGAGGCTTCCTGTCTAAGGGGCAAATTGAAGATAAATCTGGACATGGGATTGTTCTTTCATTCAAGCCTGTCCGTTCCAGAGGCACCTTCCTCCACGCTTGCTTCTTCTCCGGTTTGGAGAGGTTCGCGCGCACTTGGAGAGATGGTCACAGACTAACCTTCCTGAGCCAGGCAACTGCGTTTGCAGATGTGTTTGTTGCCCTGTTGTTCCGCCCTCAGATCTCTGTGGCCTCTTTGGGGCTTTAGAAGGAGCTTTCTTCGAGAGGGTCTTGATGGAAGGGTTTGTGTCGAACCTGTCGAGGGAGTAGGGGGTGAGTGTTGTCCATAGTTGCCTCTTAGTGTTCCGAGTGGGGCAACTTATGTCTAAACAACCAGGCCTTGCTCCCCTGGTACCCTTTGAAGGGAATCCAACGGCAGGTTTGTTCAAACAATCAGCCGTTGCAGCGGCCCGGCCGCCCGCTCTCGTGTTGAATCCCGGAGGAGCTGGCAGCATGACCGAAGAAATGTGGTGAAAGCCAATCGCCGAGTGCCATAGCCACGTGGGCAACCGCCGGGATCGGATGACATCGATGGTTTTCCCATATTTCTTGGGGAACATGTGGCATGAGTGATGTCCACTGACATGATGCTACTTCTGACCTGCGGGCCTGCGGGAGATTGATCATTGTGGGACATGGGTAGTGGGATTGTTGCCTTGATGTTGGGCTTTTGTCTCAGCTTTTCGCTGGTATATGTGCAGCCAAGCACTCATGTCTTTTTTTTGTCATTCTGGCCGTTTTGGAATTCAGGCAACAAGTTGTAACAAGGGGCTGAGATGCTCCTCAGGCTTAGTCGGATTCTGCCTATCCCAAGGATTTGTAGATAACTCTTTTGGAAGTCCGTGGCTGTGACTTGCTCTCTGGCTTATAGATGCAGCAACTGCATGTTTTTTTTGATGGCACCTCTCAGAGGTCTCACGAGAGGAACGCCAAGCGCCGATCCAGAGTTCGATCTCTGAAGAGATACGTGCCCTCAAGCCACTAGGTTGATTCCAGTAGGAAGAACCATTGATGGAAATAACTCCCCTAGAGTTGCATCATTGGCGACGATGAGGGCTGTCCTATGTTTGGGTGGTTCCTTTTCGTCCCTATTCAACAGGGACGTTCTTCAACTTTCAAATAATGAAGTAAGGTACCTCTCTGTAGATCAAATTCCAACCTAAATTATGGGAACCCAGGATTGATCGCCCTCCTGATTGATTAATAGGGGTTGCCCCCTTTCAGTAGGGATTCATCACCTTTGAAGGGACACACCTTGTTAGTAAAACCGGATTGTCTTTCTCCGGGTCATCGTTAGTTGGTTTGTGAATTAGAGTATGTAATTTGCCCAGAGGTTGTCGGGCTTGCTGGATTGGCGATGAATGCGCGGGCCAGCACGGCTGTCTCTTGCTCGTAAGGGAGCGCAGCAGGTTTCAGACTCAGAAGCTCTGATGGAGTAGCAGCACATACCATCACGGTTGATTCCATGCTCAGTAGGAAAAGCCGCCAAACACAGACTAAACCCCAAAATGACATCGTTCTCGGAGGAATCTCATTTTTTGGGGGGTAATCCTTCCACGTGAACAACGCCGGGGTGGGGGGGGGGGGGGCGCTGAAGACGTGCCCGCCTTTTGAATGCGTGCAGTAATGAAGAAAGGAATGATGTGTTTCCAGGCGTTTCTCATGGTTTGTTTGATAAACCCAACAAACATGTCTTGGTGCGCAGGAACCCTCCCTTTCCACGACACCATTGCGTTTGCACAAGCACGCCAATCATGGTTTGATTTGGTGCAGCTGGCAAACAAGCAATCAAGGTTTAACAGTCGACAGGGGATAGCTGGCTGCGAGAATCCCAAAGTTGCCACAATAACCGCTTACCAATAATAATTGCACGTTGTTTTTTTCCCCCAAGTGTGAACTTGTAATCTGTTTTCACGTGGAATCGCGTGACACGTGTTTTCCCCTCGGATGCATTTATAGATTGGAGAAGTCATCATGGTCCGCAGCTCCCACGTTTGAAAGGGACATTGCTGACACAGGGTTTGTCAACATCCGGAGTTTGATAACGGAATCGAGTTTGCAGCTTCAGAATTATTGCTACCTAAGGGCTACGCGGTGAGGGGGCTCGTGGGAGCTTGTCCTTGTCCGGCCAAGAGCTGAGGAGAGACCACCTGAAGTGCCTTTGGAGCAGCGATGTGGGAACTCCGCGGGGCTTTTGGGTATGCGCGCTAGGGGGCGCGAGTCAAAGCCAGTTGTTGAGCAGCACCCTGAAAATTTACGGAAATGGGGGTCACTGGGCTACTGGGAACAGGGTGAAACAGATCGCGAAGCATGTTTGCTTGCCGATGCTAACATGTACTTAATCGCCCCAGCGGCTATGCTTGTGTGTGCCTGCGCCGGTGCTCCTGCATCATGCAAAATGCCATGGGGGAAAGTGGCAAAACAAATTCGGAGCTGTGCTGGGCTTGCGCTATGCGAAGTTGGCGAAACTGGAACCCTGGCGTGACGGTGGCACAAGATGATATCCAGTTGGATCTAACTGGAAGCACTGGATCAGGTCATCAGGTGTCAATGTAGTTGACAAAGAGGTGGCTAATATGTCCATGTCCGTTCTAAACATCTTCAATTCTGATTCATGATGTCCAAAGTAACATATAGAGATGGTGAGCTGACGGTTTTTTCCTCGAGGGCCCCCTGTTTCAGAGAAGCGACGTGACACAGGCTCGCGGAGATCATTTGATTCATGTTGCAGATCAATTCGCGGATGAAAGGGCCAGTTTACTGCGCCTGGACGTTTCCGTGAATCAGCAGTTTGGGTCCAGCTTCAGACGCAGAAAGTGCCAACAATCTGTCGGTCCAAATATCAATGGGTAATTTGGGGGGAACATGGGAACCCGCAGCTGACTGGCCAATTTTCCCATGTCCATTCGCTTGAAGGGATATTTCGATCGCCTTTGTGTTTGTCAGCAACTGCACTGCTCGCCCATGATGAAGTTCCTCCACGGGGCGGTTCCCTTGTTCCCAGTGTGTGAGTGATAGCAACTGGCCCTTGGTGAATCATGATGGCCACCCCAGGCATCAACTTGGGGGGCAAGTTGTTCTTTGAAGATCGCATCAAGCAGTTCAATGATGAGATGATGCCACCCTCTTGAAACAGTGCCTCGTTTACACATCACCATATCGGTCAAGACTCCCGGTATACTGAGTCCAGTTGGGAGAGACATGGGACTCACAAAATTTCCACACAAACACCACATGACTCAAGCCATTCCCTTCAGGGCAAACACGTCATCATCAAATCGTTCTCTGGTCACCTCGGCATGTGAGAGACCAGAGGATTCGAAGAGCCCCACACTGAATGAGTAGCTGTTTTTAGTGTTCTAACAGGATTTCCTTTGTGTAAGGCGTCTGCCCTCATAGCCGCGCCGGTAGAACATGTTCTCGCCTTCTCATTCGGGTCATACCATGCGAGTGATATGAATCTGAAGGGTAAAGAGGTGCTCACCGCGTGGCTTCAGAATTAGAAGTTGGCAGTTCGGCGGTCTATGCCTGCAATCTCCTGACTTTTCATGGCAGGTCGGCCCAGCATCAGTTGCAAAAGGCTCACCAGACTTCTCACTTAGTTGGATATCCCTCTTAGAGCCATCCAGCCGGGGGATCAGTCGCCTAGTTTTTTGCGGTTCGCAGAATCAGCGAGGAGGTGACCTTGGAATCGAGGCAGCCCCGGAACACGACAGTCTGGATCACCCCTCGTGAGGGGTGGTCCTGCTTGCCTGGGGATTTGAAGATCTCTTAACATAGAGGCAGACAGCTTTAGGCTGTCTCGGTGCACGGCAAAAGAAATTCCTGCGCTTGCCTCGGGAGCGCAAGTGCCGGAGCGCCTGCGGCGGGAAGAAACAAGCGGATCCTATATGATCCTATTGTGCTCGACAGATTTAGAGTGTGGTTTTAGTAAGTAGGTTAACAACCATGTTTGTTTTTTGCATTCTCGAACTTTAATTAGATATCGCCGTAGTTATAGCCTACTTACTCTCGTTACTTTTGTTTGTTCCCGTTTTTGGCGGTATTTCTTTTGCCGAGTCTGCCCTGTATCCCTTTTGCAAAGTCGACAGCGTCGGGTATGCGCTGTCGCTCGGGATTTTGTAGAGCGATCCCATGGTGAACATGGTGGATCCTAGATCTATGGCCAAGTAGGCGGCAACGAGACCCAGGTCCTCTCTTGAAGTACTTCGGAGCGTTGTTGGCCAATTTCCGAACTTACACCTCTCGTAGATGAAGCACGCAAGAAAACACAGGATGTGGTGTTCAGTCCTAAGAACTCACACCACTCCAGAAACAAACGTCAAACAAGCACGGGA